TCTTAAAAGGAAGGAACGCACCGGTGAGCTCAGCAACACCAAAAGACCCGGAAGACCACGGAAAACAACTGTGGTGGATGACCGAAGAATTCTTTCCCTGGTGCAGAAAACACCCTTCACAACAGTTGGCCAGATCAAGAACACTCTCCAGGAGGTAGGTGTATGTGTGTCAAAGTCAACAATCAAGAGAAGACTTCACCAGAGTGAATACAGAGGGTTCACCACAAGATGTAAACCGTTGGTGAGCCTCAAAAACAGGAAGGCCAGATTAGAGTTTGCCAAATGACATCTAAAAAAGCCTTCACAGTTCTGGAACAACATCCTGTGGACAGATGAGACCAAGATCAACTTGTACCAGAGTGATGGGAAGAGAAGAGTATGGAGAAGGAAAGGATCTGCTCATGATCCTAAGCATGCCACCTCATCAGTGAAGCATGGTGGTGGTAGTGTCATGGCGTGGGCATGTATGGCCGCCAATGGAACTGGTTCTCTTGTATTTATTGATGATGTGACTGCTGACAAAAGCAGCAGGATGAATTCTGAAGTGTTTTGGGCAATATTATCTGCTCATATTCAGCCAAATGCTTCAGAACCCATTGGACGCTGCTTCACAGTGCAGATGGACAATGACCCAAAGCATACTGCAAAAGCAACCAAAGAGTTTTTTAAGGGAAAGAAGTGGAATGTTATGCAATGGCCAAGTCAATCACCTGACCTGAATCCGATTGAGCATGCATTTCACTTGCTGAAAAACTGAAGGGAACATGCCCCAAGAACAAGCAGGAACTGAAGACAGTTGCAGTAGAGGCCTGGCAGAGCATCACCAGGGATGAAACTCAGCGTCTGGTGATGTCTATGCGTTCCAGACTTCAGGCTGTAATTGACTGCAAAGGATTTGCAACCAAGTATTAAAAAGTGAAAGATTGATTTATGATTATTATTCTGTCCCATTACTTTTGCTCCCTTAACAAGTGGGAGGCACATATGCAAACTGTTGTAATTCCTACACCATTCACCTGATTTGGATGTAAATACCCTCAAATTAAAGCTGACTGTCTGCAGTTAAAGCACATCTTGTTCGTTTCATTTCAAATCCATTGTGGTGGTGTATAGAGCCAAAAATGTTAGAATTGTGGCGATGTCCCAATATTTATGGACCTGACTGTATGTTGTTCAGTGGGAGCGTGACCTGGGAGTGGCAGTGGATCTGGAGGACTGGAATAAGGCCTGGTCACTCATAGCTAAATGCTCATTTAATACGTCCATGCTGGAGGCAGCCTATAAGGTATTGTTTCGTTGGTATTGGGTACCGGCTTGTTTGGCCCCAGGCTAACCCTGCCTGTAGTGATCGATGTTTTCGGGGTTGTGGCCATCGTGGTGATGTATTGCATATCTGGTGGTCATGCCCAAGACTGGTTCGTTTTTGGTCTCATGTGTTTGGCCTCCTTTTCACTTTGTTTCATCTCTCTATATGCCGGGATGCTCGGTATGCCTTGCTTCATTGCCCTATACCGGGCCTCTTGGCTCATCAGCAGAAGTTGGTATAGTTGTTATACTCAGAGTTTCATTAATGTTGTTGTAACTTATGTGCCATTGATAGCCCCTGCGTGGGAGTACCTTCTGCCTTGTTGGAGTTAGAGCACTGTTTCTCTATTATGTTTTTTCTTATCGGTGCAATTGATAGCCCCTGTGGGGGCGTGTTTTGTTGCCTCTGTTTTATACTGATTAAAATTAATAAAAACCATTGAAATATAAAAAAAAAAAAAAATACAATAAAAAACAAGAGGATTAAGAAGGCCCTGCTCACAAGAGTTTGCAATCTAATAGGGTGGGGCAAGTGGCATAACTGTGGGAGATGAACTGGTGGAAGTGATAAATGTTTCATTGGAGGCCTGATAAGCTTCCCTGAAGAGGTGAGTTTTTAGGGATCGCCTAAAGGCAGCCAGAGTAGGGGATAGCCAGACAGACTTAGGTAGAGAGTTCCAGAGGATGGGAGAGGCTCTGGCAAAGTCCTGGAGATGAGCATGGGAGGAGACAAGGGAGCTTGAGAGCAGGAGATCATGAGAGGAGTGGAGAGGATGGTTTGAGTGATATTTGGAGATTGGTGATGTAGCTCGGGGCAGGGTTGTGAATAGCTTTGTATGTTGTTAGTATTTTGAATTTAATTTGCTGGGCAATCGGAAGCCAGTGGAGGGATTGGCAGAGAGGGGTGGCAGACACTGAGCAGTTGGTAAGGTAGATGATTCTGACAGCCCTTTTACACGGGCAGACCGATCAGGTCCGTCTGTCAGTTTTTCAGGTGGACCCAATCGGACTTTCCATTCTCCTCTATGTAGTGGTGGGTGAAAAAGGATATGTGTCTGTTTACATCCGGCAACATCCCATCTGATCCGCTAAATACAGGCATATGGGGATTGTTCCCCATCCGTCTAGCAGTGGGTTGTGTTCCCTCTGCATAAATGGAGCGGACACAGACCAGCAAGGATCAGCAGACAGATCCCCCACTGAGCAAGCGGACTCCTAGTGAAGCGCGCCCTATGTTGAAGGGGCCTTAATCCTAAAGTGATATTAAGGTCTATCTTTTTTTTTACCTAAAATGAAAAAGGTTTTAACTTACCTGCTCTGTGCAAGGCCCCCCACCTCCTCTTTCTATTCTATTCTTTTCTATTCCTTTATTTTCTGCTATATTTTATTCTTTTTTTTTAGTTTCTCTTCTATTCTCTTTTACTCTATTGTTTTCTATTCTATTTTGTTTTATTTTATTCTATTCTTTTCTAATTTCGAAAGACAGCTATATTCTTTCTCTTTTATTTTATTCTAAACTATTCTATATTTTTTCTATTCCATTCTTTTCTATTCTATTAATTTTTCTATTATATTCTATTCTTTTCTATTCTATCCTTTTCTATTTTATTCCTTTATTTTCTATTCTTTTCTATTCTATTTTGTTCTATTTTTTATTAATGTTCTATTCTATTCTGCTCTGTTTTACACTATTCTTGTCTATTCTATTTTTTTTTTCTATTCTATTTTTTTCTATTCTGTTCCTTTATTTTCTATTCTATTTTATTATATTCTTTTATTTTCTATTCTATTCTGTTTTACTCTATTCTATTCTATTGTTTCTATTGTAATCTCTTATATTCTTTTCTATTCTATTCCTTTATTTTCTGTACTTTTTATGTAATTTTGGTACCAAAAAGCTTTTATTGGAAATGTTTTAGAGCATACAATGCGTAATCAGTAACAAAAACATAGTTCAAGATATAATACATTAGAATGGTTCATCCACACAGGGGTACATGAATAAGGGTCACATAGAAATCAAGGATTAGAAAATATGGCATGGGTTGTGCAACCTAACCCCTACTAATATAACTGTGTGTATAGGCAGGTGGGTGGTGGGATAGCAGGAGCTCCATAAGGGTTCCATCGCACACCTTGAGTGGGGGGAGGCCTGCACAGTTTCTAGATAACATAGAAGGTAAACAGCGGAAAGAGAAGAAAGAAGAAAAGAGAGAGAAAGAAAAAAAATGGGGGGGGGGGGGATTTTTGTTTTTGAGGGGAGTGGAGCGGAAATAGTGATAAGGAAAGGTATGGGGGGTCAAGGAGCATTCGCCACCAGGGATAAGTAGCCAGAAAGCATGTCCCTTTAGCACCTGGAGATATTTTATTCTGTTCTTTTATACTATTTTCTACTCTATCTTATTCTATTCTATTCTTTTCGAAATTTGAATTTTGGAAGACGGCTATATTCTAACACTAATACACAAAGTCTTTGAAGGAAATCAGCAATATTTAGAATTTGTTTTTGATTCGCTTTCGAATTTTGGACAAACTTTTATTTTGTTATTTCGGATTTGTTTAAATTCATTACTGTTGTCATTCAGATGCATTTGAATCTCTAAACTAAAATTTCATCCAAATTTCGATTTGGAACTAAACGCACATGTCTACAAATGGATCTTTTCAGCGGCACACTGTCACCACTGCCATGGTTTCCAACTTCACCCGGTTTTCCTTCCAGGTCTGGCTAACAAAATGGCTGACCCGCGATAATGTCACTCCTGCATATGCACATGGGAGTTGCAATTGAGGCACAACGCTCTAGATGGACAGCACAGTCACTGTGCCCTCAATTGAGCGCAGTGCGCTGGTGATGTCATCGGATGCAGAAATTGTGACTATCTCCTAAACGGTACACATTTAAGAAATATTCATTGTACCTACAGGTAAGCTTTATTATAAGTGAGCAAGTGGTGTTTTCTACTGCTTATCAGCTTTCTGTCCACCCACAGCCTATAAATGGCAGGCTATTGATACAGGTTATTGTACCTGTACGTCAGCTTGCATCAGCGGCTCACAGAGCGTGCACCCAGGAGCCCAGTGATCCATGTCACCCAGACAGCAGATTACATTACCGCTGTGTCCAGGTGATCATACGGTGTTTATCATGTGATTGCTGAATCCAATCACAGCAGTTACATTGTAAACATGCCAAACCAGATCACTGCCATATGCCCTACCACCATCCTGATCACCGCCATACACCATATCGGTGCCCTGATCACTGCCATACCAGCATCCTGATCACCGCCATACTCCATACCAGCATCCTGATCACCGCTATACCCCATACCAGCGTTCTGACCACCCCATACCCCATACCAGCGTCCTGATCACCGCCATATCCGATACCAGCATCCTGATCAACGCTATACCCCATGCCAGAATCCTGATCACCGCCGTATCCCATACCAGCGTCCTGATCACCGCCATATTCGATACCAGCATCCTGATCAACGCTATACCCCATGCCAGAATCCTGATCACCACCGTATCCCATACCAGCGTCCTGATCTCTGCCATACCTCATACCAGCATCCTGATCACTGCCATACACCATAGCGGCGCCCTGATCACCGCCGTACCCCATACCATTGTCCTGATCTCTGCCATACTAGCATCCTGATCACCGCCATACCCCATACCAGCGTTCTGACAATCCCATATGCCATACCAGTGTCCTGATTACCACCATATCCGATACCAGCCTCATGATCACTACCATACCCCATACCAACATCCTGATCACCGCCGTATCCCATACCAGCGTCCTGATCTCTGCCATACCTCATACCAGCATCCTGATCACTGCCATACACCATATCGGCGTCCTGATCACCGCCATACCCCATACCAGTGTCCTGATCTTTGCCATACCAGCATCCTGATCACCGCTATGCCCCATGCCAGCGTTCTGACCACCCCATATGCCATACCAGTGTCCTGATCACCGCCATATCCGATATTAGCCTGCTGTTCATTGCCATATACCATGCCAACTTTCTGATTGCTACCATACCCCATACCAACATGCTGATCACTGCATATGCCATACTAGTGTCCTAATCACCGCCATACCAGCGTCCTGATCACCACCATACCCCATACCAACATCCTGATCATCACATATGCCATACCAGCATCCTGATCACCGCCATACTCAATACCAGCATCCTGACCATCGCATACCCCATACCAGCATCCTGATAATTGCACATGCCATACCAACGTCTTGACCACTGCCTTACTTCATACCAGCATCCAGCGTTTTAGGGTCTCAACTGATCAATTTTCAAATATATATCCCAGAGTTTTTAGACTCTATAATTGTTACACAGACTAACAAATATACACTGTTTTGGGTTATTTTTACCCCAAAATATGTAGCATAATTCATTTGGCTTAAATATATTTACAAAATTTTATAAAAAAACTTAGCAAAGATTTTTTTAAGCAAAATTTGTTTTTTTCCCACTAATATAGTAAAAAATAAAAACCCAGTGGCAATTAAATGCCACCAAAGGAAAGCTCTACCTGTCTAAAAAAAATGATAAAAATTTCATATGTGTACAGCGTTGCATGTAATTGTCACTCAAAGTGTGACAGCGCTGAAAGCTGAAAATTGGCCTGGACTGGAAGGGGGTGAAAGTGTCCGGACTTGAAGTGGTTAATATACAAATATATATGCATCTTCTGTTTGTCAAGTAAATAGTCTTAGGCTTTCTGAAATAAGGTATTTATGTGTTACAAATACAAATGTTCTGTCTCTCTTCCTCATAGTAAACACTGGGAGATGTGTACCTGTACTCAGCCATGGGTGTGTCACAGTGCTTGCTATGAGGTAGGAAAGGACTGTTCAAATACACTGCTAATGTTTCACCTAAAGGTAAATCCGATAATTAAATTAAATAAATATTGCGATATGTGAAACAATAAACTTCATACAACATGCATAAGCACTATGAAGACCCTCATACCTATGAAAGGCAATCAACAAATAAATAAATAAATGAATAATGCTATACAAATTACACTAATCACCAGTGTACATAGAAAAACTGTGAAATGTGATCAAATCAGCAAAATAGTGACATATTGTCCATATAAACGTATAATAAAGTCCATATAAGGATAAGGACTCCACGTACGGTGATAAAGATGTAAATCAATGCTGTAGGTGCAATGTGGGTAATCTTCCTTCAGATAATCACCAAGGTGTGTACCACCACCAAATAATTAAATGAAGGCTTACCAGAAAGGGAGACCCCTTAATTATAGGGGGTCCCAACCAGCATTGTGATATGAGATAATAACAGGTTCTCCATGCCATGCCCAGAACAGGGATCTTCCAAACCTCCAAACCCAAATTGGGAACTCGAAATGCAGAGCCAGATAAAGTCATGAAAGAAAGAACATGACTCTCATAGTGCAATACGTATCAAAAACTCCTTTATTTGCGCAAGTAAAAGCCTACTTACAAGCTTTAGAACAATTAAAAGCATTCAAATAGACCATTTCCAAGATGGCCGAAAGTGCGATGACATCAGAGGGAGTCTCTCTGACGCGTTTCGTCATCAAATGACGTCTTCTAGGGGCTACGTAGCCCCCAGCGGCCACGTAGACATACCATTTACATAATTACACCGGGTCAGTCTCCTTTCTGGACCTCACAGTTGTCTTTCTTTTGGGCCAAGATATGTATAAATCACTTGTTTTACACCCTGTGTTGTTTAAAGTTGTATTAAACCCAAAAGCAAACATTTATTTTATTGTACCTTACCAATTCTTAGATGTGATGGCTGCATTCATTTATTTTTTTCATCTGATGATCCAGCGAGCAAGTGTGTTGTTTTTCAAAAGCACAAGCTCACCAGCAGAGTGTATCAGTTTACAGAGATGGGACAAAGCATTTAACACTGGCAGGGATGTGTGAAATGATCAGCATTCATTATTTGTGTCAAACCGTTATCCCAAAAGGAAAAAAACTGCTGTAATCGATTAAAAAGTGTGAGCTAGAGTTTGACATCAATTTGCTAGTGTATTTAAATCTGCTAATACATTCAACATTATCCCCCTCACACAGACTTGCAATACTGCTGTCTGCTGTGCTCCTTCATCCAGAGTGATGCCTCATTGATATAGGAGGAATGTTAATGGCTAGATTTCCAGCTGAAAACGATTGTTAAGCTGCAATATAATACATGATAGTAATGCCATTTTAAGGCCTCATGCACACTGGGCATTTATCTCTGCTGCATGAGACTTCAGCATTTGGGTGCAGACGAAAGGCACAGGCGCCCCTTCCAGCAACCAATAAAAAGTTTATGACAGGCTGATGTCTGCTGCAAGTGCTACTAACATTAGAGTGAAAATTTAGTCAGAAAATGAAAATGTTACTAAACCAACAACCGTAAAATCAGTCTGTATATGTAGTAAAGCATGCTTGTTATCCTCACTGTGGAATCTAAGGGGTTGATCCTCCACATTGTGTAAAAAGGCTGTCTTCTCTGATCCTCCCCTTCTTCCACAGTCCCCAATCCATCTGCTGATATTACAGACTTCTAAGAGACACTTTGCACATGCTCAGTTTGGTGTGTATTGCTAGAGAGTTTGTTGTTTTTTTGTGAGGGTGCATGTGATCAGCACAGGGCCAATCAGCACTGTCCAGACATAGGGTCAGGGGTCATGCAGCCTCATAGGACAATGAAACAGAAAATGTGGCCGGAACTCCAACATCCGTGTAAACTTCTTTATTGCTTGCACAGAAGTAAAATGCTAATATGTTCATGGTAAGATAAAAACTGATATAACGCCCTCCAAGTTAGTTGGATAGTTTTTAGACAGGTGCTGAGTAGAGCCTCGTCAGCATGGGGAGTGAGGTTAACTCAGGACAAGCTGGAAGTCTCCATCAGGTCAGAGCTTCTGTAGCCCTCCCACCTCTTCAGAAATCTGAGAGCTTTCTGGAGGAGGTCCAGATCTACATTTTTGAGGGATCCTGGCAGAAGGCTGGGCATGGTGACCAGGGCAACCCTCAAATGTGTTAGATCCTGGGGGGAGGTGTGCAGTGTGGGGTGATAGATGAACTGAGAGGAAGGCTGGAGTGAGGAGCCTAGGAGGGGGCACCAGGTAGGATTCTAGAGGGGAGGATCTCCTCTGTCTCATAGTCTTCTTGGGAGGATAACCTATGAAGCAGGGAAGGAGCCAGCCCAGCATAAGGCGTGAAGGCATCCACCAACCCACCAAGCGAAGAGGGAAAGGCAGAATGAGTACTCCTACATCCCTTGGACCAGATAAGGAGAGAGGGCAATCAGGTGCAATACTCAGCTAGTCTTCATCCAGGACTGTTTTAAATCTACAGCTCTTGGGCTTCCTTGCCCAGGCATACCCTCATGCAGCTGGGTGAAGAGGAAGGACTCATCTAGGGTCTGAGGAGGTACACTAAAGAGGATTTCTTGCTGATTTTCAAAGAGAGACTGTTTCTGTCCACATTTTGTTCATAGTTTTATTTATTTATTTATGGTACTTATATAGCGCCATCAATTTACGCAGCACTTTACATATATATTGTACATTCACATCAGTCCCTAATCCTCAAGGGGTGTACAATCTAAGGTCCCTAACTTACATCCATACACATACCAGGGCCAATTTAGACAGGATCCAATTAACCTAGCAGCATATCTTTGGAGTGTAGGAGGAAACTGGAGTACCAGGGAGAACATGCAAACTACAGGCAGATGGGGCTGTGGTTGGGATTTTGAACCAACGACTCTAGTACTGCCAGGCAGAAGTGCTAACCATTTAGCCACTGTGCTGCCCATATAGTTGAAAAGTTATCAAGTTTACAGTTCCCTTTGGCATCCTATATACTCCTAGACCCCATCCAAGTTGTTAACACCTTAATAAAATCACAAAACCAAGCTCAAGGACTGTTTAGCCCTCATGCACACTAGACGTTTTTACAGCGGCTGTTTTTTGGCTTTTGATGTTTTTTTCTAGTCAGTAAACCCCCCAGCATGTTATCCTATGTGTCTATGCACACATAGACTGTGATCAACGTTTTTTGGCTGGGAAATTTTTGGGCTGGAAAAAAAAACCCAGGGCTAGTGGGTTTCTAGAGGAGTTTTTTAGCTGTAAAAACGCTCTAACACTGAAAAAAGCAAAATGCGGTAAACTGGCGTTTTTGGAAGCTTTTTAAAACGTGACTTTACACAGCTAACGTTACCAGCATTATCAAAACGCCCCGTGTGCATGAGGGCTTACTGAATACAAAGTGGGGTTTTCTTTTGCTTTCCCGTTCAATGATGACTGTAAACAAATTAGAGAGGGTGAATCTTTCTAATGGGGGCACAGACAGCAATAAAAACTAACAGGGGTTCTAATCCATCTCCACTCTATCCAAAACTAAAATGTTTTGCCTTTAGTCACATTTTAATGTAAAGGGCAGTGTTACTTTCAGGATTTTATATTAGTTTAAGACTTGCTAAAAAGGCGTATCAATTGTCAAAATTCTATATTTGTTTCCCCATTGTATTACAATTATTAACCTTCTATAAAAATCTGAATGATCTCGACATTTGTAAACTTACTTTGTAAAGCTGCCCACATTTACGTCCTTGAATTCTGTGACCCTTAGTCACTATGCCCTGTGAGTAGGCACTGCTGTGTCATACATTTCTCAGAGCCTGCCTTCTGATCTACAGTGGGACTGAAAGGAGGAGTTTCAGGAGGTGGAGTAAGAACAGGAATCACTGCTTGCAGGCAGCAAGGTACCATGGGATATGTAGTTCTTACAAATGAGAACAAACAGCAGAGGAGAACCTGCAAAGCATGCTGGTAATCCAGGAAGTTGTGGAAAGAGATGGCCAGTAGACAGGCAACACATGTAAGGTTATATTGGATTGTCAAAAATATGTATTTTTTGTACTGCTTTTACAATGCTGATGTTATAGAATAAAAGTGTA